ATGGAGTTTTTTTGTGTTTATTTCAAGCACGATCCTAAAAGTTGGAGATATTGTCCTGATGAAATATTAACTCTAGCAGTCCTGGAATGTCCAACATGGTTAAGACTTTGCTTCCCCCTTCAACTTCATCGACTGCCTCCCCACCTCCTGAGCGAGCCATACTAAACCATATCTGTTGCCTGAACATCCATATTCTCTCTTCCAAGTTTTTGCACAAGCTGTTCCCACTGCCAGAGGTTCCAGACACTCCACCCCCTTCACCTCCTGGCTAGTATGCACCTGTGCCTGGAGACCCAGATCAAGTGACATCTCTGCCAGGAAGCCTTCCTGGGCACACACCCCTTTCTCGAGCCTATCCCATCCGGGCTGTGTACCTCTCCTCCTTGTTCCCATAGCACTCTGTGCCTACCTGCAAAACACTGACCATGTGACTTTGTTATTGCCCGTGTATTCTCTTTGGCCTCCTCAAGGTGGGGAATGCCTTTCATATTTGAATCTCTAGTGGCTGTCTGGACCAATGCCTGCCACCTATTAGTAAATGGGAAAAAAAATAATAATAACTAAATGTATCTCGCACTTTGTAGATGCCAGGCACTGGTTGAAGAACTTTACATATATTAGCATATTTAACACAAAAACCATGCCCACAGGTGGGTACTTCTGTTGTCTCCATGTTACAGATGAGGAAACAGAGATGCAGAGAACTCAAGTAACTTGCCGAGATAATATAACTGATAATTATCTGAGCTGGAATTTGAACCCAAGCAAATCAGCTTCAGAATCCATGCTATCGATCACTAAGTGAATCACTCGATAAAAATATGAATGAACAAATGAAGGGAGGAAGGAACACATGAATGAACAGTTAAACGAAGGTGTGAGTAAACAAGTGTCCAGTAGCCTGGCATCAGGAGACTGCCCAGCCAGCTTTGCAGACATCAACAAACTGCTCTATCTGTAAGATGCCTTTGTCTTTTTTCATCTTACGCCATTTAAAAATTCTTAAACTGGTGCTTAATAAGGTGCCAAAAACTTGGCTCTGTTCTCCTCAGCCTTTTACTGACACCAACCAAACTATCCCATCTTCACTGCTTTCTCGATAACTGCGTGCAGGGTAATGAGCATCAGTAGCATAGGATCGCTGAGTGGTAGAGTGAGCAGGTGCACTTAGAGACACTTAGAGATCATGTGGTCCAACCCTCCATTTGGTAGATAGGGAAACTGAGGCCCAGAGAGGCAACATGACTTGCCCACAGTCACACAGCAAGTGGCAGAGTTGAGAATGGGCCTAACCTCCTGGCTTCCAGTCCATCTTTTTACTAACCTAACTCTAGAGGCAACATGACTTGCCCACAGTCACACAGCAAGTTAGTGGCAGAATTGAGAATGGGCCTAACCTCCTGGCTTCCGGTCCATCTCTTTACTAACCTACCTCTGGTCATTGCTTTAGCCTTGTCAATCAAAAGGCATTGGGGGAAAAGCACAACAATCGAGTTTAACGATTTCTCAAACACAGACACTACCCAGATCTGCTTAGGCATCAATTTCGAAAGATTGTGGGAATAAGGGAGGCGAGAAACCCAAAGTCGAAGCCCTGTGATTTCCTCTAGGCACAGAAGTAAGTAACTAAAACCATCACTGGTGACTTACCATGTGCTAGATGTTTCCTTGCATTAACCCACTTAACCCTCCCAACAGATGATAATTGTCCCCATTTTACAGATAAGCAAACTGAGGCACAGAGAAGTAAGTAGAGTGACCAACTCATCTCAATTTTCCTGGAATCGTCCCTGTTTTACACCTGGAAGTCCTGTGTCTCAGGAACCCCTCAGTCCCAGGCAAACCGGGACAGTTGATCTCCCCAGAGGATCGAACCCCAGAGATTCAGGCCAATTTCCATGCCCTTTTCTGCCACACCGTGCCACCCCTCTGGGTAAAGAGATAAACTTGAGGATGAGGAATAAACAGATAACCAGGCAAAGCGGGGTGAGGATAGGAAGTTGGGGGAGGGTAGGCACGGAGAGGCAGCTCTGAAGGCAGGTCAGCTCCAGGTCACTGCAGCTGAGCCAAAGTCTGGGAGGCAGGGCACTACTGGGTGCCATGCCAGGGAAGGACAAACAGAGGCTGGTCTATTCATCTCTTCTCATCCCAGGAGGAGTCTGTTTACGACGATAATGGCCCTGTTATCTCAGCCAGGTCTCTGGGTCCTTGCCAGGCAGTGCAAGGGTTTAAGTTCTGAGGCTCTGATGAAACCAGTCTCCCTAGGACCCTGGCCCGCTCCCCATCCTCCCCTGAAAGCCTGGCTGGCAGAGAAGGGGAGACATATGAGAGCCACAGGGCAGGGCCCCCTTGCCCAGGGAGCCCGCTGGGAAAGCGAGACCACCATGCTCGGACACTGGATTTCCGGGTTGCCTAGGGAAGGAAGTCACAGTGCTTGACCAGCTGCTGGGAGCCAAACACTCCTATTTTTACATCTCTCCTTCTCAAAGCACTTGAGATAGGAAGCATCACCTCCACCTTACAGAAAAGAAAGCTGAAGCCCAGAGAGGGGATGTCCCTTGATGAGGTCACACAGCATGTCGGTGACACAGCGTGTCAATGGCAGAGCTGGGGCCCCAGTTCTCCCTGCCTCCCAAGCCTTCCTTCACACAAGGCTGTAAAATGATGACACAGAGATAAACTATGTCCTGGGTGCGTGTCTGCGTGACTCTGGTTTCCCAGAGCGCTCCTGCCTGCACACTCCCCCTGCCCTCCTCCACCCTGCTGCCTCCTTCTTACCCTTGACACCTGCCTGACTCCTAGGCTGGCGAGAGCCCTGTCCTCTAACCCACAGTGGCCTGTGCTTGGCCAACCACAGTCCTCACATTTGGGTTGTAACAGGCATTTGTCAGTCTCCCCGCTGCACTCGGGCTCCAAGGGGACAGGAAGTAATCTCCCACCCCCAGCACTGATACGTTCAATTCATGGCCAGATCATTGTTAGCTCTGTCTCCGTCAGGGGGCATCCTGAAGGCAACAGTCAACTTACAAGTCTCCCCCCAGGTTTCTCTGCTCTACCCACTTTCCCTCATGATCCCACTGACCTTCACCTGTCACTTCACCAAAGTGTGGTGCCTGGAGCAGCAACAGCATGTCACCGAGAGCTTGTGGGAAATGCAGAAACTCACGCCCGGCTCCAGGGCACTGGCACCGAGCCAAGGTGTGTAAACATTCACCATCATTGTCCACTATCATATCTGAACCTTGCTACAAGCCCTCCCATGCAGCTGTCACCATCCCTCCTGCTACAGATGAGGCTAGGGTTTGGACAGGAAATATGACTTTCTCCAGAATGCACAGCCAGGGAATGGTAGAGGTGGGATTCAAACGCAGGGCCCGTCTCCCTCTAAAGGTGATGGAAATTAGTGCTGACATTACATGTGGCGGAAACTTACATTTATTGAGCATCACTCCTGGCAAAGCCCTGTATCTGCTTTATCTCATGTGACCTTCTCAACTCCTTATGAAGTCAGAGGTTGACACTCTCACTTTACAGACAGGAAGACAGGGCTCGAATAGGGGAGGGACTTACCCAAGATCCACAGCTAGGAAACAGCAGAAATGGGATGGAATCAACTCTGTTTGCCTGACAAAAAGCCCCAAGCCCCAGACTGATCCTGGAGGAGGTGGTCACTGTGCGTGTGCGTGTGCGTGTGCGTGTTCGCGTGCACGCATGCACGCGTGCGTGCGCATGCTCCAGCTCTGCCTGTCCTTTCTCCCACCTGAGAAAGCTTGTGGCTTTAGATCATGACCCACACTTCCTTCCCCTTTCTAACCCTCAGCCTTAGGCTTAATCATTATCCAATTCTGACCCAAGCACAAACACATGCCAATGGATCACAATCAGCTAGTGTTGTATGATGTCACTCCCCAACTATTTCCATCAATTAGCAGGTGCCAAGAATTCCTGAGATGGCCTTCCTGCGTTCCGAAAGTCATCACAGGTCCTGAGTCCCAAGAACTGAGTCCCGGATGTTAAGCTCTGGAGCAGGCTAGAGCCAGAGGGAATACGTTACATATTCCCTGTTGATGAAAGGAAGAACCCGACCAGAGAGGACCATTCCCAGGCCTTCCTTGTTCCTCTCAGCTGTGAGATCTTAGCAGATTACTCCTCTCTCTGAGCCTCAGCTTCTCCATCTCTGAAATGAGTGGATGATAAATGAACCAACCTCCCAGGGTAGTTGTAAGAAGTATTAGGGATGATGGAAGTGGCTGGGGGCGGGGGATGCGTCTCTCGAGTTCTCACTGCCCAGAAATAAACACAGCTCAGACTGTCTAATAGGTTGGCTAGCGAGAGTGGGTAGTGTGCACAGGCATCCATTTGTACGGGCAGCTCACAGGTCATTTGGAAGAGGAGGAGGGAAGATAGGGTCAGGGCAGTGGCACAGGTGTGTGTGCCCTGCGAGGCGGTGGCCAGGCAGGGAGGAGCCAGTGCTGTCTGCAGGGACCAAGGCATGGACAAAGCAGTAAAAACAACCATTACCCCTTGCCCCGGTAGAGAACACAACACCATGGCCCAGTGAGCGGGGAGCATTGGAAAACAGCTCCTGGCACAAATCTTCATATTCTTACAGACGGCACTGGCAACTGTGGCCAGGCCCCCTCAGTGACTTCAAGGACAAAAGACACAGAAGGAGGGAGGGGTGGCAAAAAAAAAAAAGATGCATGGGCAAGGGCCGGTGGTAAACGACACAAGGCTTTGTGAGCACTTGGGGCTCGGGGGTTACCCTGGGACACCCAGACCCACCTGGGAAAGGTTTCGCAGAGACCAGACGCCCAGAAGAGCAGCTGGCAGCCAGACCCGCTGAAATCTGGGTGGGCGCTACTAACGCAAGCCCATCGATGATACACAAGGCTGGAGGGACGGGAGGAAGCGCATTCACACACATTTATACACACAGCTGGCAGAGCCCTGCTTCCAAGGGGGCCATGAGCCCTGCCGCCCGCACTCACCCCACTTACCTTCCCCCAGGCCTGGACGCAGGGCAAAAGGCATGCCCAGGGTGCCCCAATAAAGTCCTTATAAAACGGAAACTTATTCATGAGTCAGCCCGATCCCTGGCAGCCAGTTCATTCATCACAGAGGTATTTCAGTTCTTTTCAGCAAAGCCTTTCACTGCCTCGGGAGGTGAGGTCATCTCTAGTAAACACTGCCTTGCGGTGAATTTCCTCTGAACTTTTTGCTTTTGTTTAATCCACCAAACCTCAAGGGAAGCTGGCAACCTCGAGAAGTACAAAGGCACTGGGCTGAGTCGGAGACCAGGGTTCAAATCCCAGCTCTGCCCTTTCCAGCTGCAGGACCTTGGCCAATGCAAGTCACATCTCTGGGCCTTGGTTTCTCTGTTAAATGACGTCACTACTACTGACAGGATTCTAAAGAAATACACAGCACTATACACTCATTCAGTCAACAGATATTTACTGAGTGCTTAACATGTGCAAGCACTATGCCGGACACAATGGAAATTATGATAAAGAAACACACATATGTGCATATGTGCACAAGTATGTGCGTGTACCTGCACGCGCGCGTGCGCACACACACACACACACACACACACACACACACGGTTCCCACTCCCTGCCCTTGGAAAATTCACATTCTGGTAAGAAAGACAGACATGAACCAAATGATCCCGTAAATGAATATTAACATTCAGCTGTGATTAGTGCTGAGCTTTATGGTGCTATAAGAGCCTGTAATGGGTGTTTGATCCACTTGGGCAGAGATGGCAGGGCAGGGCAGGACAGGGAAGACCTTCTGAAGGGGTGATGACTGAGTGGGAGATGAAAAATATGGCCGAGCATCACCTAGGCAGAAAGAAGCTGTGAGCAAAGTGCCTGCAGAGAGGCAGAACCATGGCTTGTCCCAGTCATGGGAGAAAGTCAGCCCAGAACACAGGGGTGAGCGGTGAGGAGGAGCCTGTACATAATCAGGCTGCAGACACAGGAAGGGTGGGAATCAGTACTGAGCCTGCGGCCGAACGTTCCAGGCCGAACGTTCCCCAACGTGCTCAAGTGGCTTTGGAGAGAACATTATGAAATATCAATGGATTAAACTTAATTTGGGGCTAAATCAGAGACCATCATCTACTCAATTATGGCTTGGACAAAAGACAGTAGATATGGAGAAACAGAATTGAAAATATTCTATCCCTCAGTTTTATTTTTCTGTGATTTGAAAAAACACTACTATGGTTTGATTTTAGTGATAAAATAATCAGCTCGATGCACAGAACAGCAGTTTTCCACTGGAGGCTAGTGAGAGCAAGCCCAGCTAAACTCAGCATCTGCCGTCCACGGGACTCAGCATGCATGGGGCCACCAGGTGGTAGCTGAGGAGGGGCAGTGGATCCTTGGATGGCTGCCAAAGAAGTCACACTGGTGATGGTTCCCATCATTTCCTTGTGGGAGCAGAAGAGGATTGAGGTTCAGGTCCTGGCAATATTTATTTGTCTTATCAAAATATGCTCTCTTGTAAAAATGTTTGTCTCATAAAAAAAGAAATATAAATATTTCTTATAAAAATATTTATTTGTCTTAAAAATAGGCTGCCTAAAAAGAAATAAATAAATGGGACTACATCAACTAAAAAGTTTTGCACAGCGAAAGAAACCATCGACAAAACAAAAAGACAGCCTACTGAATGGGAGAAGATATTTGCCAATGATACACACCTGATAAGGGGTTAATATTTAAAATTTATAAAAAAAAAAACTCATACAACTCAACACACACCAAAAAACCCCAACCAATCCAATTAAAAAATGGGCAGAGGACCTGAATAGACATTTCTCCAAAGAGGACATATGGAGGGCGAATAGACACATGAAGAGATGCTCAACGAGATATCAACTTACACCTGGCAGAATGGCTACCGTGAATAAATCAAAAACAGTGTTGGTGAGGATGTGGAGAAAAGAGAACCCTTGTGCACTGTTGGTGGGATTGCAAATCGGTGCAGCCACATTGGAAAACGGTATGGAGGTTCCTCAAAAAATTAAAAAGAGAATTATCATGATGCGACAATCGCACTTCTGGGTATATATTCAAAGGAAATGAAAACAGGGTATGGAAGAGCTATCGGCTCTCCTACGTTCATCGCAGCATTATTCACAAAAGCCAAGACGTGGAAACAAGCTAAGCGTCTGTCAATGAATGAATGGATAAAAACGATGTGGTATACACATACAATGGAATATTATTCAGTGGTAAGGAAGAAGGAAATCCCGCCATTTACAACAACATGAATGGAACTTGTGGGCATTACGGTAAACCAGACAGGGAAGGACAAATACTGCAAGGTATCACTTATATGTGGAATTTTTTTTAAAAAAATGTCAAACTCAGAAACAGAGAGTAAAAAAGTAGTTGTCGGGGCTGGAGGAGGGTGGATTAACAGAAATAGAGATTGGTGAAAGGGTATAAATTTCAGCTCTAAGATGAATAAAGTCTGAAGATTAAATGTATAACATGGTGACTATAGTTGATAATACCAAATTGTATAACTGAACTTTTCTAAGAGTAGAACTTAAACATTCTCATCAAAACGTGTGTATGCATGCGTGTGTCTTAACGCATATCAGTTAACTAGATGGGAGGAATCCTTTCACGATGTACATGTATATCGAATCATCACAATGTACACTTTAAATATCTCACAATTTTATTATAAAGCTGAAAAAAAGAGAATATGCTGAATAGTGACCTCGTATTGGGCAGCCTTGACTGTTGGCTCCTGTCATCCTGACCCCATGGGGACTGCCAAGAAAGCGAAGGCCATCGACTACACCACTGTGCCCCCAGCCAGAAAGAAAGGGAAAGGGAAAGGAAAAAGGATGTCCAACCATCTCTGAGCACCCGCTTTGTGCCCAGGCCTGTGCTAAGCCTAGGTCGCCCAGAGAATAGCGAGTCAGCCATATAAGTTACAAGACAATAATAAAACAAGACAGACACATGGACAAGGGCACCAAACATGATACAGGCCAATTAGCAGTGGGAAAAGGCTCTGCGTAGGGCACATCGTCCACAGATGACCCTCCGGGACCGACACGGGGCAGCCGGTCCAGCCTTTGGACACGGGAGACCTGACTTCCCACCCCAGTTCTCCTGTCTTGCTTGGCCAGTTTCCGGCTCTGCTCTGAGCCTGTTATCTTGGCTGTGATATGGGCCACCAACAGGTGTGAGTCTGAGTGAGATGAGGTATGCAAAGAACTCAGCCCCCAGTGCAGCTCCCAGGAGTGGGGAAATAAATGTGGGCTGAGGGTGCCCGAGGAGGTTTCTCCTATGGGGTTAGCACAAGTCCTTAGAAACAAGGGCGGGATTGAACAGGTAGGTGGTGCTGAGTGCCCACAGAGGCTGCTCCACACACAGGTGAGGCCAGTTCGTTCTTGGTAATGGCAATGGAAGTGGCTACTCTCTTTGAAGAGTGATCTGTTTTAAACGAGGGCTGACCACAGACTTAGCCACTTCATGCTCTGTTACAGCCTGCCTCAGTTTATTCAAACGTCAGCCAAGCTTTGGGTTAAATTAAGGTCACCGGGAATTTATTTCCCTCCCATGCCTCTCGCTTCACTGAAACCCCATAAAACAATTCATGCACCATTAGGCGTGGGTATATGGCCCAAGATTGCCCTCTTCCAAGGAAGGAAAGGGTAGGTAGACTTCTGGAGAATCTAGGCCAACTTGTTCCCTTAGTAAGAAGCAGTGAGAGTTGAAGACTGACAAGGAAAATACGCTGACTCTGTTGCTGGCACCCTGTCATCTCTGCCTGGTGCTTAGAAGCATAGGAATCTGTTGAAAGGAACGCAGATGTTGCCATCCAGAAGCTTTTGCCAGCAAACTTTCTGTTCCAAGATGGGAAATAATTTGACAGTTGTTTTGGGGAGACTTTTAAAAACTCATGCCCTTTGCCCCGATCACTTCCTCATGTTAGGCCACTTTCTTAGAGGCATCTGTGGTTCTGACAAATAGTTTGGCTACAAGATCTTCACGGGAGAGTTATTTATATTAGCAACAACTGGAAGAAATTAAATGTCCAACAATAGAACGGTTAAACAGAATTCGGCATAGACATAATCTAATATTTCTGGTTTGGGAGGTTTTCTAATAACGACATGGTAAAATGTTCATGATAAAAATACTCCATAGGGGGCAATATACAAACTTACTTATTTGTACTATGACTCTGAATTTGTGTTTTCAATACCTATGCAAGGAGCTTATTTTATTCTGCCTTGTTTTGGAATTAATTGGTTGTCTCTCTGCCCCTTAGACTATAAGCTCTCAGAGGACCCTAGAGTGAACTTGTCACTCTATTGGAAAAAGGAATGAATAGGTGTGTGGATTATTTGAGAATCTGAGTACTTCGTTGAAAAATAACAGTAACAGCTAATTGAGTGCTTACTATATGCCAAATCCTGAAGCAAATTCTTCATATACTTGTCCCTTAATCCTTACAACTCTTACTATATGAAGATGATACAAGTTAGTGAGGGCAGTGCTCCCAAGGTTCCCTAGGAATTAGCACCATCAGCATCACCTGGCAATTTTCTAGAAATGCAATTTCTGGGGTTCCCACCCAGACCTACCTAATCAGAGATGCTAGGAGGTGGGGGCTGGCAAAGTGTGCTTGCCCAAGCTCCCCCAGCTGATTCTAATGCATGCTAAGGTCTGAGAAGCTCTGGCCTGGGGGTGACAGGCAGCCCAGGTTTCTCGAGGGCAGCCGTGGAGTTGAACTTGAAAGTCGTGTCCCAGCCCAGTTAAGCTAAAATCAAGAACAAGCCTGTAGTCCGACAAAGTCAGATTTATCCACCCACTTCAATGAGGAGAACACACATCGAAGGACTCAAAGGAAAACAGAGTACGCCTGAAAGTTATATGTGATTAACCAATGTTATCCCAACACATTTAATTTTTTTTAAGTTAAAATAATAAAAATATTACAGCCATCCTCGGAGGCAAGAAGTGGTATCTGACACAATAGAATATTATTCACCCATGCAAAGAAATAAAGTTCTGTAATATTCTACCACAAGGATGAATCTTGAAAACATTAAATGAAGTGAAATGAGCTAAACACAAAGAACAAATATTGTGTGATTCTATTTATATGAAATATCTAGAAGAGGCAAATCCATAGAGACAGAATATAGATTAGAAATCCC